AATCACATTTTTAAATTAAAAAAAAAATTATTGTTTTTATTTTAAAAATTAATTTAATTTTGAATAACAAATAATAACAAATAAAATTATTTACTATTCTCTTTTATATTTACATATTATATGATTATTTTCATTTCTTTCTTTCATTAAACTAGTATATATTTGTATAATTAATAGAAAAAAATAAAGGATAATTTAATGATTTTCTTATTTCTAACTTATTTTATATTTTATGTAAATATATATGTCATATCTATATATATCTATATATATCTTACGTAAATATATTTTATTATTTTATATATGTACTTTACTGTATACATTTTTTTTTTATGCTTAAAATTTAGTTTAAATTATGTATATTTTTCAAATTTTATATAAATTTATATAAATTACAGTTTTTATAATTTTTAAATCTATATTATTTTATTTAAATATTGAATCATTAGTTTTTTGGGATTATTTGTTAAATGTATTTTTTTATTTATTCAATTTAATAAAAATTACATTTAACTAATACTTTACTAAATAACTTTACTAAATAAAATGAATTTCAATAATATTAGGATGTTTGATTTTAAATAAAAGAAAAAAAAAAGGATATTACATAAAGTTTAATACATTAATAGTAGAATTAGTTTATATTTTCAATTATTTTAATTTATTCTCAGGTATACGCAACTGCTTTTCAGTTTTTCTTTTCAATTGATATTTATTTGAAAGAACAACATTCCGTAATGTTGAATGAAGAAATCTTTTATTAATACATTCTTTTGGTTTTATCCATCCACTAGGACCCATTATTTCTGCTCTTTTTGCTCCAAGTTTTGCTTCTTCTAATAATGCTTCAACTGCAAGTCTAAAAATAAAATTATAATTTTAGTAAAAAAATGATAAAAAAAACATCAAAATATAATAATTTATATATCATTATTCTATTATTTTATTTCTATTATTATTTTAATCATTATATTAATTCATAATTTTGTGATTGGATTATTCATAAAATGTGTATATATATACATATAACGGTCAACCTATTTATTAAATTTAATAGATATTAATTATTAATACAAATTCTCTGAAATATAAACTCACCTATTTAAGGTTTCGTCATCCATTTTATCAATATTTAATTTTTTTTGTTTTTTAATCTTAAAATATTAAATAAAATATTAAAATTTTTTTATTAATGTATATCTTTCATAATTAAATAAAATTGTTAGTTAAATGATAAATTTGATTATTTATTAAATATAATGAAATGATTTTTAATTTTTTTAATAAATATAAAATAAAAAAATTATTACTATGTAATTACCTATATAAAAAATGAAATTACATACTTTCGGATTAGTATAGACAACGTTTGATGTATTAAGGTTAACTTTATGTCATAAGTTACTTACAAATACAAACTAAATTATGTATACAATTCTAAATATATTATAAATTATAAATTTATAAATTTTCATATATAATAATTTACATTTTACATATTTAATTTATTAATTAATTTATTATTAATTTTTTAATTAAAATAATTTTAATTTATGTACAAGAAAATTAATACTATCTATAATTTTTAAAATATCATTTATAAATTGTAGATATTATTTCAACAGCTTTTTATATGATTATATTATAGTATATATGATTTCTTTTATATCTAATTAAATAATTTTAAAAGTTGAAAATAAAAATATTGAAATGAATAATAATTTGTATATTTATAAATACATTATAAAATTAATATTAATAATTTAAATTTATATTATTTTTTAAATATAAATTCAAATAGATAATTATATTTATATTTATATTATATACTACATAACTATATAACAATATAACATTATATAACATAAACTATATATTATAATTTAAAACTGTTTTAGAATAATGGAAGATTTTGAATTGATTGCACTAAAAAAATTAAAAGAAGAGCTCATTGTAAAAGCATACAATTTAATTGAAAAATTAAAACAACAAGAAGAGGATCAACAAATTGTTATAATAAAGTTGTATTACTTTTTTTATATTATATTTCAATATTTTTTTATTATTAATATATATTATTACATATTAATATATATAATATATATTAATATGTATTTTTTTATATCAGTTTGCCAAATACTACAAAAATTACTAATAATTCAGAAGAGAAATTACAAGAATCCTATGAATATAGATTGTGTGAAGTTTCGCAACAAGTCTCTGGTATAAATTTTAAAAATATTGACAAGAAATGGTTACATGATAATATTTATAAATATACAACATATTTAACAACAAAAATGTTAAGTTTCTATATAGAATTAACAGTAAAATTAGAGGTATATTAAATTGCTCATAAAAATATTTTTTTATGTATTAGATTTTTTATGTTTTTGTTTTATTTAGGATGAAAAAAAATTTGAAATTTATGACATAACATGTCATTTTATAAACATTAATAAATGTTTTATGTTGGAAATAGAACCGTGGATAGAGATTATAACTAAAATGAAAAACTTTTCTCTTCTTACATCAAGTATTTTTTCAAATTTTATAATTTTTTGCTTAATAACAAAAAGTATACTTATTAAAGTTTTTCTTTTTAGCAATTTCACAATATAATGAACTAAGTATAGTTAGAAAACAAATACTAGATACATTAGAATCTAAAATGTATGCAAACTATGAAAATTGTATAGATGAAAATGGTGGAATCTTATTATATGTACATTCAATCAAAAATATAAAACAAGTTTATCTAATATTTCAATGGTCAATATTATTTTTGGAACGGTTTTGGGGAATTAAACATCATTTTACTATAACTCCTACAGAAATAGGTAATAAATTATGATTACAACATTTTATTTACTATAGTTCATCTCTATAATGATATATGAAATATAACGTTATAATGATTTCAGGAATAAAGTTTGCAGAAGAAAATTGTTCCTTATTAAAAAAATTTTGCAAACCAAATATCATGAAAAAAGATCTTATTCATTTATGGAATGATCTATGTTCTGCTGTTCATTTATATGAAAATAAAAATGACTCAAAAAAGGAAGATATATAATATGAAATGATAAATTATTCTTTTATGAATAAATTATATAATTATAAATTATCATAAGATTTATAATATTTTTTTTAATAAATTACTGTCATAATATATAAAAATAATTAAATATTTAAAAGACATGTATTCAAAATGAAATCAATAAATATTTATTTTAAATATATTTATTATGTTATATTTTCAATATTATTATATAAAATTTATATTTAGAAATGTAAAAATAATAAATTTTTTTTCTATTATAATATTTATATTTTTTAAATAATTGTATTAAAATATGTTTAATGATTACTTCTTTTAAATATTATTTTTCATTCATTTCTTTATATATATAAATAAGA